ACGCCCTTACTTCCCAAAGTGGTGACCCCTAGTTTTGAATAATAATTCGCGTTTTAAATTTCAATTTAAATCAGATTTATATCGCGTAATTTTTCTTTTCTTCTGGTGATTTGTGGGTATTGCAAATCAAGTGAGTATTTTGTGTGCGTGTGATTAATCGTTCCTAAATTCGTAATCGATATTTTAAAAATTAAAATGGTTAACGACGAGGCAGTAAATGGAGGCAATGCGGTGACGGTAGTGGCCTCACAACGACTTCCCGAGTTCGTTGCGGCTGATCCGGAGATGTGGTTCGCGATGGTCGAATCTCAGTTCTTAAGAAACCGCATCACTGATAAACAGCAACAATATTTTCACGTCTTTGCAGCGCTGCCCTCGCGATACGCGACTGAAGTGCGCGATATTATAATGAAACCACTCACCGCGGAGCTGTATGAAGAAATGAAGGAGCAGCTCGTCAAGAGGCTGAGCATCAGTCAAGAAGTGAAGACCAGAAAACTGCTAGAGGGCGAGAAAATGGGAGACGAAAGGCCATCCCAATACCTGCGTCGCCTACAATCACACGCAGGATCGTCATTCCCGGACCAAATATTAAAAACACTCTGGCTACGGGGTCTTCCGGAGAAATACCAGATGGCTATGGCTACGTAACAGGACAAGACGGTAACCGCGATGGCTGAGGTGGCTGATGTTATTCACGGCGTATTACCTTCACGTCCGACGGTGGCCGAAGCATCAGTGTCAAACGAGATGCAAGTGGTGGTTGCAATTCAACAACTCCGTCTCGAGGTCGCAGAGCTCAGGAACCGACTGGACAACCAAGTGCAAGAAGTGGTGAATACGAGGCGCGGCAGATCTCAGACACCCCATTGAGGTCAGAATTCTAAACAGAGACCCCGCTCTCGGTCACGTCAACGGGGCCCACGCCCTCCAGGTATGTGCTGGTATCATTGGATCTTCGCCGAAAAAGCAGATCATTGTACTACCCCGTAAAATTGGACGCCGGGAAACGACCAGGGCGGTTGTTAATGTCGGCCGACGACACTCGCCCAATAACCCACAGCCGTCTATTTGTCCGTGATCGTGAATCAGGGATGCGTTTCCTGATCGACACTGGAGCGGACTTGTGTGTGATTCCACGCAAAATTTACCGCGGACCGTGTAAGAAAGCAGCATACGAACTTTCTGCGGCCAACGGTACACCGATTTCTACGTATGGTGTCGCGACGTTTACACTAAATCTTGAACTAAGGGGATAGCTCAAATGGTAGAGTAGCCGACATGTCTTCGCAAGGTTCTGGGTTCGAATCCCAGTCCGAGCTATTTAATAATTTTTTCTCACATATTCTATACACTCACATTAAGATGATCCTCTCCACAATCCTTTCTCAATCCATTTCCTACCAATTATCCTGTTACGTGAATGTTGGAACGCTTCACGTAATAATTATCCGTAACTCCTATTCTTTCCCGCTTCACAGCATTATTTATATTTGTTGCTTTCTATCATTACAAAGAATAATTCATCACTCCAACTCCGTAGTATTAACTGGTTCAGCTATGAATGATCGATTATCTACTTCCATAGAAATGCACACAGACTTTAAAAACTGCACGGGAACAGCTACGTATTATTCAGTTATCCAGAACTCATACAAATATGGTATTTTTATATTCTTATATGATAATTGAAATGCATTATTAAATTCAAACTTCTTAATTATTGCATGATGAATGCCATTGCAATGGCATGCAGTTAAACATTCACGTATTTCCTAGAGATACAAAAATCTCTAACAGGTCCATCGGGTAATTGTTCTTGATATTGTTGCATTCGAAGAACCTGACCGTGTGTGCTTGCAATTTGCGAATCAATATGCCTCGTACCATGGATTAATTTTAAAAACTGTCCATTTAAATCTTCGAACACGTAGCAAGAAGTCGACCATAAAGGTCCAATCCTACGAACCAATTTCGGTAAATGAAGAAGTGAATGCACATTGATAGAGCAATTTTGTAGTCCATAGAGTGTTTCAAAATCATGGACGAATTTATTTAATAAAATTTGTGCGTTGTCAATCATTTTATTGGATATGCTGTCAGCAGTTAGATATGCAATACTTGTAATTAGTAACATAAAATGTTCGAAATAAATATTTTGCATTGTGCCAGACAAAACTGGAAGTGAATAATAAAAAAACCACATTCTTAATTCTGAAGCTTTCCAGTGAGTTAATTCTTGTAAGGTTCGAGGCAATCGATGGACAAATTTCGGTGGCTTTATGCTTGTCAATCGCTCATTAATCACTTCAATTACAGGGTACAGTGAATAATGAAAGCTACTGTAAGCACTATCGAACCATAAAGACAAGAGTTTTTACGCTGGCTTATCTGCAGCGTATCAATATCAGAATACGAAAATGTCGAAGGTATTTTCCCTTTTTACCAAGTATATTGCTATTGTATTACAGTAATAATTGTTTTTCTTTCTTTCTTAATACATAAGCTACTGATTCATAATTTGTATACTTTTTTTTTTATTTTATAGATGATAAAAAGCTTCAAGGTAAATGGAGAAAATAAGGTATAGTATTTAAGTTTTTATTTGGAATAAGTATCTAATAAGTTTTCTTAATTCATGTTATTCGTCTTCAATGTAAATTAAACAATAGTAAAAGTCGATGAATTTAATTTTAGAAAGAAATTTCTTCGAATTCTCACATTTATTTCCCCATTAAATTGATTGAAAGCATTGAACAAAGTGCTGTAACAGAAACAGGTATGATTGATTGGAAGAAAATATTGAAACTAGCTTTGATGGAAATATATGGAAATAGCATTGCAAATTATAGTGCTATTGGCCGAAATAAAAACTCACGTCCGCTAATTGACCATGACATCTATGAAGGAATTTTTCGTGAGTATTTAAAAAATTTTGAACTTCAATGTGGCCATAGGCTTCAAAAATTAAAATGTTTAAAAATCAAACATTAGTTTTTAGAATTTGAATTTTCTGGAAACTTTTAATTTAACTATACATTTTGGTTCATCCCATTTTAAACCATTTATATCTTAAAATATTACACAGCTTCTATATTCAGTTGAACCGACTTGATATAACTAGTTAGATAATTTCGTTTGAAAGTTTACTCTTTTCAATGTTTTTTTAGAATGGGTATTGTTGAAATCAAAATTGAATATTGAATATGAATTGAATATGAATTGAAAATTGAATATGATTTTACTAAATATTTTACATTTCCTTTAAGTTTCTGAGCTTGAACTACAATTCTTCCAAAAGGTCATTTCTGCAGTTGAAAAAGCCCTGGCGGATTCGGGTTCACAGTAAAATGATCGTGAAACGACGGTGAATGTACCGTGAATTCACAGTGTCGACAAATGATCGTCGAATGACTTTCACTTGACTGTCGAACGGCCGTCATTTGACAGTGAACGACAAGTATCATTGTGAAAGTTTTTCACTGTTACTTTATGATTTTTATTCTGTATAATTATCATACTTCACTCTTCGAAAAACCAAATTTTTACTTGACTTCTTCGATTTTTTACCTAAGTAAAAATCGTAGATCATCGATTGATCGTCTGTCATTGCACGGTAGTTTGTAAGTGAAACGACCGTGAAACGAGCGTATAATGTCGGTAAGTCAGGAAAGTTTTACTAGTCAACGAAGAAAAATTGCTGACAATATTTTATTTTATTTTATTTCCATAAAAATACTCAAACCATAAATTATAAATTATGATCGCTATATATTTTTATATTATTATGTAATATTTTATAGTTGCCATCTGGCCTGTGCCTTGGCATTAATAAATCTAAATAATCTAAATTTTCAACATTGTTTTTCTTTTTTTTTAATTGGGGGATATTTTATTCAATAATTAATTAATAAATTATAATTTAATTTCAACTTAACTATAAACATATTTTCTGCACGTCAAATATTTTCACCGTAATTCAAAAATTTGAATCCATTATTAAAAATTTGAGTTTTTTTTTTTTTAGAGACGAAAACTTTAATTACGAAATTACGGAAAAATTGTTTGTTATCAAGAAAAATTATTCTGAGATTTTTTAACAATTAAATTTTTAGCAATTTCTTTTTCAGATCTTTTTTTATACAGTTAATAATTTCACCGCAATTTCGAAATCAAGAATTTCGTAATCATAAAAAATTTTAATCATTTATTACGATTATTATTTTGAAGTCCCGGAAAAAATATAACTTTATTTAAGCTATTTTTATCTGTACAATAAAAAAAATAATTTGAGTTTTTTTTTTTTTCTTAAAGACGAAAACTTTAATTACGAAATTACGGAAAAGCAATTTCTTTTTCAGATCTTTTTTTATACAGTTAATAATTTCACCGCAATTTCGAAATCAAGAATTTCGTAATCATCAAAAATTTGAATCATTTATTACGATTATTATTTTGAAGTCCTGGAAAAAATATAACTTTATTTAAGCTATTTTTATCTGTACAATGAAAAAAATGACTTGGTTTTGACACCTTATCATGTCACTGAATCGAATACCCCGTGCGTTGTCTCAGATAGCCCAACTGGTAAAGTTTCGGGCGCGTGACCATTTGAATCGGGTTCGAGTCCCGGTCTAGACTGTCCGAAGTATTTTTTTTTATTTTATTGTCCGTGACAAGAGCGTAAAATCACCGTATTTCGACAGTATATTAAGCGTACAGCATGGGTCATAACATCGTAGATTCACTTGCGTATACACCGTATATATTCAATAAATTAATAGTAGACATCGTTCACAACGGTATCCGACGCTGACTGATAGATCGTTCGGTAAGAACGAACTTTATACGGTGAAACGACCGTGAAACAACTGTCAAGCGACCGTGCTGCGACCATGCTTTCACCGTGCTGCTGAAACCGCCAGGGAGAAGACAAATGGCATCACAATTCAGATAATCATTTAAGTTTGATGAATTCGGTAAAATAAAAACTTACTTTTATTTACAATTACTCTCAAGACCAATAGGATAATTTTTTGGTGTACTAAATTTCAAATATTTGCTTTCAGGAATCACATAATAGTTTTTTAATACCTGGAGCTACAAAGG